AAAAATGAGATCATATTACAATACATACAGTTTTCAGCACCTACATCTTATTATTCAACACTATCTCATAGAAATTACTATAAGTAGCCTGGGTATTGCTCTAATTCATTCCTTTTAATGATTTCATAATATTTCATATTATGGATATGCCACAACATATGTCCTTATGTACTGGTGCTTTTATTCTTATGGGATATATCTCAGCAGTATAAATGTTGGGTGAAAAGACATTTATATATTTCATTTAAAAAATTTACATACAGTAAATTGATTTTTATTTGCTGTACGGATCTGAGTTTCAGCATATGTATCAACTAGCAGAGCAGACAAAATGTGTAATATCTTCATGAACTCTAAAAAAATCTCCTCTTCCCCCACCTAAGCCCTTACCACCACTGTTCTCCATCTCTATACAATTGCCTTTTCCAGAATTCTTTGTAAGTAGAATAATGCAATATGTCACCTTTTGAGACTGGATCCTGTCACTCAGCTTAATGCCTTTGAGGTTTATTCATATTGTGTGTGTCAATAGTTAATTCTGCTTTATTTCTGACTAGTATTCCATTGTATCGATGTACTACAGTTTGTTTAATCATTTGCCTATTGTAGGACATTTTGATTGTTTCCAAGTTTTGTTTTTTATAAAAACTGGCAGATGTATTCTGCAAGGGCCCATTTTCAAGAAGTTCAAAGTGGAGGGGGGCAAGGAGAGGATTCTTCCGCTTTTCCTTTCTCCCTCATCGTGTTTTACCCAGTAGATAAAAATGACCTAGACCCCAAAACCTACCCCTCTCAAAAAAAAAAACCAACAACAACTGAGTTTCCAAAAAGTTACAGCATCTTAATTCCTCATAGAAAAGAAGAAGGAGTCAGAGGGAAAAAAGGTCCCTGGTGTGGGGAGAGGCTTCCCTAGCTTGGGGCAAATCCCCTCCTTAAATAGCTGCCCCAAATGGGACAAGCCTGGAGCTATAGCATTTAAAAACTCCTCACACCCAACTTTATCAAAACCAAAGAAAAAAATTCCCTTTCCCCAAAAAAACCTAAATATTTATTTTTTCTTAAAAACAAACCCCCAAATTTGAAGGCATTAACCGTTAAAATGAATCTGTGAAATTCCCTCTTTCCTTCCTCATCACTGTGAGGTTAATTGGTGCATCCCCAGCAGAGGAACTAGCCCCAAAGGGAGCAAAAGGTGGGGGCTTCCCCAGCCAATCAGCAGCCAGTATGGATGTGCGCAGGTGCTAGGGAAGCCACACCCTCTTGGAATTATTCAAGAGGAATGGGGAGATGGAAAGATGCATTCTGGTATAGTCTTCAGCCAATTCCAAGTCAAGTAGAGGCAGGGAAAGCAGGGTGACAGGTGGGGTGTCCGGAAAGAAGAAACAGGATCTTTTGGGTCCCTGTGGTCATGAGGAACACTGCTTTCTCAGCTCCNGCTGAAGCAATCCCAGCTGTTAGTAAAAGAATAAAATGAACAACTCACCTGGGTTTTCCATGGACATGAAGACAGTTTCTCCTGAGAATGGGAATAGGGTAAGTGTGTCTTCATAGACCATTTTGTGTTCAAAGGTATATCCAGAGAAGAAGACAGAAAGGAAGTCAGTCTGTGCTCCAACACTTAGAATGTACCAGTATGCCACCTCATGCAAACAAACTGACAGCTGCAAGTTATCAAAAACATAGCCATTGATGCCTGCAAAAGAAATGGAGAATGAGAGGTTTTAGCAGTATCAGGATTTATTATGTTGGATTTTTGTTTTCGGATTAGAAATGATTATGTTATGCCCCAAAGGAGATAGCACTATACCTTCCTGAAAAGTAGATTGTTAATACTTGATCAGCTACATCCCAACCCCTAGGTGAGGAGCCTCATAGACCATTATGGTACAGATAGATTTGGATGCTATACTGTGGGGGGCAGTTTGATGAGGAGTAGGGTATTGGCACAGTCTCAAAGTGTTTCCTCTACAAACTGCTTATTAGTTACAAGGGGACAAATAGTAACTACACAGAGGAGAAAGCAGGAAAAAAAAAGAAACCTTAATCAAATGACCAAAATTAACATCTGTTAATATTCCAGATTCATGGAAACAAATGAATTTCAAAAAAGCAGGACAGTTATATCCAGTGCAGGATCCAGGACTGGACCCTGAACTTGAGGGAGGAAATGCTACAAAAGAGCACTGATTGATACAATTGGGATATCAGCTGCCAATGAATGTATTATATCCATGTTACATTTTCTGAATTTCATGGCTTCACTTTGGTTATGTAAGACAATATCTTGATTTGTAGGAATTATACAATGAAGTATGAAAACATAAAGAAGCATACTGTCTTAAACCTATTCTCAAATGGAAAATAAGTAATAAAAGTATGTACATAGAGAACCAAGAGAATGATAAAACAAATATAGCAAAATGTTAAACATTAGTGAATCTGGTTAAAGGGTATATGGGAGTTCTCTGTACTATTCTTGTAGCAGTTCTATAACTTTGAAATTATTTCTAAACCAAAAGCTAAACAAAAGTAAAGATTAACTTCAGTCTGTAAAGGGAATTGTCTCTGAAAGCCTCTTCCATAGATCTCTCCGTCCATCCATTCAGTAAACATTTGTCTACTCTGCAAGGTGGTGGCCCACAAATCCACTAGCAATGCTTACACTAGCTTAGTGCAACTAACTGAGAATCAAAGTTTCTTGCTCTACAAAGTATTAAAATATATTATGAAACTATTATAGTTAAAAGCATGGTCTCAATGCAGATATAGATGAATATATCAATCAGAACATAGAGTCCAGAAACAGATGCAGATATAAAGGGAAATTTAATGTATGTTAAAGGCAGTTCTCAGACCTGTAGCAGAAAGAATGAGCTCTTTCGTAAATGCTGATGCATATATGACTATTCATATAGAACCAGAAAAGATCCTGAATAGCCACAGCAATCTTGAGAAAGAAGAACAAAGCTGGAGGCATCACACTTTCCGATTTCAAAGTATACTACAGGGGTATAGTAATTAAAAACAGTATGGTGTTGGCATAAAAATAGAACCACTGAAACAGAATTGAAAGCCCAGAAATAAACCCTCACTTTTTTTGACAATTAATATTTGACAAGGGAGCCAAGAATACTCAATGAGGAGAGGATAGTCTGTTCAATAACTGGTGCTGGGAAGACTGGACAGCCACATGCAAAAGAGTAAAATTGGACCCCTACATGATACCACACACAAAAATTAACTTGAAGTGGATTAAAGACTTTTAAACATAAGACCTGAAACTAGAAAACATAGGGGGCAAGCTCCTTGATATTGGTCCTGGCAATGATTTTTTTGGATGTGACATCAAAAGCAACACAGGCAAAAAATTAGCACATGGGACTACATCAAACTATGAAGTTTCTGCACAGCAACAAACAATCAACAAAATAAAAAGGCAACCTACTGAATGGGAGAAAATATTTGCAAATCATTTATCTGTTGTTAAAATTTTAAATATATAAAGAACTCATACAACTCAATAACGACAACAGAAAAATCTGATTTTACAAATGAGCAGAGAAACTGAATAGACATTTTCCCAAAGAAGACATACAAATTGTCAAGAGGTACATGAAAAGATGCTCAACATCACTAATCATCAGAGAAATGTGATCATCAGTGAAATAGGTCAGTGAGAGAAAGACAAATACTGTATCATTCCACTTATATGTGGAATCTAAAAAAGCTGAACTCAGCAGCAGAGAGTAGAATGGTGGTTACCAGGGGCTGAGGAGTGGGAGAAATGGGAGGTGCTGACTAAAGGGTAGAAACTTCCACATATAAAATGAATCAGTTCTGGGGATCAAATATACAGCCTGGTGATTATTGTTAATAGTATTGGATTATATACTTGAAAATTGCTAAGAGAGTGGATCTTAAATATTGTCACTACAAAACAAATGATAATTATGTGACGTGATGGAGGTGTTAGCTAACACTACGGTGATAATCATTTTGCAATATATGAGTATAAGTGTATCAAATCAACAGTTGGACACCTTAAACTTACACAACGTTATATGCCAATTAGATCGCAATAAAGCTGGAAACAAAACAAACAACAGCAACAGACTTTGAATGAAGTGTAAAATTTCAAGGGGTATGCCCCCCCCAGTGGAAATAGAAGTGTTCAGAACTTCCAAAATAGTAAAGGGAAAAGCTGGAATTAAAAAGAAAAAAAGCTTAATTTAAAAAAGCAATAAAGGAGAAAAACTGTAATATTCAGAAAAAAATAGGAAGCACAAAATAAGATAGTAGAAATAAATCCCATGCAGATGGGCTAAACTCCCCACTTTAGAGATGTTCAAATTGAATTTGAAAAAGATGGAACATCTAACCCTTC